GAACCCGACGTGAATCGAACACGCAACCTTCTGATCTGGAGTCAGACGCGCTACCATTGCGCCACGGATCCAATCTGATTTTACAACCTAACTTACTATATTTAACAATATTCGAATGCCTCCCATTTGGATTCGAGGCGAAGGTATTCTTGGAAACCCTATCCTCCCCCGGCGTTCCCGTTTTCGTTCATACGCTATGGCGCCTCTGTGTACTTTCGTGTCTTCACAATTCTAATTTCCCTCTTACTTTGTTTCAGTATGTTTTCTTGCGCACGTAATGGCATCCAATTGCGCTGTCCAATTACATTCTGTTTCTTTCCAGGTATGTCGCCCGCCTAGTTTTCTTCTGATTTTGCCTGGAAATGTTTCCTGCCATTTGCATTCATTTTTTAGTTCGTGTACGCAGCCATCCGTATCGGTTCGAAAGCCGCCTGCCTTGTCCGGCATTTTTGGTTATGAATGCACTGGCATTAGTTACCGACATTTGAACTGCAACTGGAATCGGCATCGAATGGGTTGCAAGTTTCTAATAAGAGCGGCCGAGGGTTCTGCGTCCTCTGATTCAGGCCAAAATGTTGAAGAAGATGAAATGGTGGTGAAGACTGGTACTGGTTCTGTGGCTTCCAAAGATTACATCGGGAAAATGCAGGAGATGATTAATTCTTCGCCTGCCGGAATTTTCTTGGTAAATATATCTTGTTCCTGATCGTTTAGGAGTTTGTCGTTTAGAGGAAGGGAAAAAAACCACTACCAGTTTCTCCCTTCTTTATATCTTTTGCACATTCGAGAATGGCGTTTGTAATGACTTTCTTCTTACTGCTATATTCAGATTTTGTCGTCACCTAGTACGGTAAATGAGCGGAGAACTTTCTCCCGAATGGTCATAGATTATGACAATTGACACTTATACTTCTTATGCAGTGTCATATTGAAACTTGCAGTGCATCATGAATGGTTTCGGGCAATTGGTTTATGATATAAATGGAATTAATATAATCAGATTGGATGTGAAGTGTTACATGTACTGTGCAAATTAGTATCATGCCATCTGTTTTAAATCATAAACCCTTGTGAAGAACTCTGAGCTTAAATCATGCCTTTTGTTAGCAAGTTAACGGGTATCTTACACTCTTATCCTATTCTGTCCCAGATGAGCAAATGTACTGGAAATGGCCTTGCAATTGGGTTTTGCGTTGCAACTGCTTGTTTAGCAATAATTGCAAGAGTGTATTTGATGGGGAAGTCTAGGAATAGTCATTCCGGATCGGTGGCTGATCTAGTCAGGCGTGGTCAGCTAAGATCCGACAGAAGAGGCATGTATGATTTTAATCGTTGGCAGCTTTATCCTTGTTACATGCTAATATGTTTGTTTGGGTCCTGTTTCCATTATATTCTTATAGTTTCCTCTATAATCATCTCTTTTGCAGTTCCAAGCCTTTAAAATACAACGATCCCTTTAATAATCCATTGGTAAAGGTCGACAAAAGCAATTCATCTGTGGAAATGTGTGGAAAGGTTTATCGATTGGCCCCGGTTACTCTTACTAAGGAGGAACAAAATATTCATCAGAAACGGAGGTCTCGAGCCTATCAGTGGAAGAGACCAACGATGTTTCTCAAGGAAGGAGATTCAATACCTCCTGATGTTGACCCTGAAACAATCAGGTGGATTCCTGCAAATCATCCTTTTGCAACAACAGCTAGCGATATTGATGAGGACTTGGCCCAGAACAACGTTTACCAAAAGCATGGTGTTCCTTTTCGTATCCAAGCTGAGCACGAGGCACTGCAGAGAAAGCTTGAAGCACTCCAGAGTGTGAGTAGCTCTGACTCTGATATTCTGTACTCGATCTTGTGGTGTCTCCGTGTTCGTTCCTTTAGTTGATAAACTCGAATAAAATTTGCTGCATGTTGTCGAGGAACTAATATATTCACTCCATGATGGAAGTATAATACCCATGGCATAATTCAATAGACAACCTAACACGACTCTCTCCCTGGTTGGTTTTTTGTGTGCAAAAATAAGGAGGAATGCCAAGTTTATCTCTTCATTTCTTATCCTTTAGTGCATTTCATCTATTACGTAGAAGTTAGATCCCTCACACATTCAGTGGACACTGCACCGATTCCAAGAAGGTAAATATTCTTTGGATTAAATTATTTGAGCCTTTTTTCGAACCACTTGGTTAGAGAGAACCAGAAGAGAGAGATTCTTTTGGCTTTTCTGAGATACTACCACTTTTGTTACTCCTAACTAGAAGAGATTTTTTTTAATAACCAGTCTTCCTTGATTTGAGTTGAGGCTGCCTCTCCTTCTATTGTTTTATTTCTTCAATGAAATTAATTTCCTATCAGAAGGAAAAATATATTCTCTCTAGCTTTTTGCAATCACAAATGTTATGGAAAGATGAACTTTCCGGTCCAGTATATGAGACACGGATTGTATTTCTAGATAATGTGCCCTTCAAGAATTACATCTCTTTGGGTTAAGTTTTACAAATATTCCCTTTGAGGACGATAGTTGACTGTGTTTTTGTGATATTGAGTTCTTGGGTATTATTTAATTATGATATTTGTTGTACTCTTGTGAAGAAAAGGATTTATGGTACTCTTATGAAGAAAAGGATTTATGGTACTCTTATGAAGAAAAGGATTTATGGTACTCTTAGACAATTAAAAAGCTCTTTCTTTCTCATTTATTTATTCACTACGAGGGAGAAAAGCAGGGTGGGGTTGGTTTGGTTTTGGGAAGGAATCCAAGGATTTTGTAGAAAGGAGCCTCAAATTCAGGTAATTATGTTTAGGCAGTTTGCATCCAAACGATCTATCTTGTAATGTATCGTAAATGTCTTAATCTTAAACTTGTTATTCTTCATTTGGTTTGGCGCACTACATCAACAAGTGGTTCCACTTTCCCGTCTTGTGATTTTAATCATTAGTTCCTTTATACAATAGAGTTTCCAAGTGATGGTGCCACCTGGACATGGCCATTTGGTTTAGATATCTGCCCACCATATTGTTTCATGATTCATATTTTCATTTTCTGCAGGAACAAAAACTGAATAATTTATTTATAGATCCCGGAAGTGTTAAGGATTTTGAGAGGCCTTTTAAGTCAAAATCCAAGTCAGATGAACAAGTAGAACAAAGTTTTTCAGATCACCAAGCTGGAGAGTTGAAGCCTCCAAACTCGGGACATCTCCCAAGTTCTTTAGGGGTTCAATCGACGTCTGATGAAGCGGAAAAATCCTGAGTTAAAGGTATGTTTCATATATTTTATGGATATATTCATTTTACCATTTCAACAACCAATCAGCTTCCTCCTGAAAATTTTGAATGTGTATTTAACATGCAGGTTTGATGTAAATAGGATTATCTTGCAGTTTTGCCGTTAATTTTATCAGCAGAACGCAGTAAGTTAGTTATTCGGGTACTTGCTGTATAGTATCAATGCGTGCAGACCCGTTTCTTAGTTCACCAGCGGTGAATCGATGTATTTCTGCCTTTTTGTCATAAACTTTTATAATATGTTCATGTTGAATTGGGGGAATATGATAGCTTGTTGGTATAATTGGTTAGTCAGATTCTGCCCTCTGCCTTGACGCATTCTATTTCTGTCTGAAAATTGACCTGACGGTGATGCCAAAGTGATTTTTAATTTTTCAAATTTTGCATATGACCCTTGCTTGGTCCGTATGAACAACTCAGTGGTTCAAGGATAGGGATGGGCTCCTCGGATCGATAGTTTGTACAAAAAGTATAATTTTTATATTTTGATGTTGATTTTAAGGAAAAATTTTGAAAACTTAAATGTAATTGTTATATGGCTTGCATAAATTAATATTTATTTGTATATAATTATCACATAGGATTACTCTATTACTTTAATTATATATGTAAATAGCCAACAACCTGAGGTTGTGAGTTCGATGATGTTGTACTAGTATATATATATATATATGTGGAAATGTAGCTGCAGTGAGGGGTCGTGCCTTAGATACTATAGTGGGCCTAGATAGGGTTGCAAAAATTTGGGCCCTGGATTGTAGCAGTAGTTGGATCAGATGACGTTAATTTGGGCGGCCCAAACTATTTTTTTTTAACCCATCCTGCTTTTTATATCATCTATAAAATTGTCAACATATGCATAGATGTGGGGGAACACGAGTGCCTATATGTTTATAATTGAGGCTGTGATTATGCACTCAAATTTTCTCATCAATCAAGTTAGAATTTTGATTTTCAAAATTTATAATTAAGTAATTTAAATATATTTCCTCCGTACAGCAAGACATTAAAATAAAGTATGCCTTTTATTTTCCTCCATGTAAAGGTAAAATACGAACCCAAAAAATAACTTTAATATCTAAGATCTTGAATAGATAGTTGATGGTTAAAGGCATGAGTTTTGCAGAATGTTTCCGGCGATTTATTTGAATTATGTAAATACTAATTGAACTATGCAAGTCCTCCTGTTGTCCTACTGAACAAATATACTATCCGATAATTAATTATACAAAATAATAAAATAAAATATTAACACACGAACACGTTCTTGGTCGTGGGGCGAGGCAAATTCGAAGTGAGCGGCTTCTTCTAATTTGCAAACTTTACATCTGGGTTTCGTATAGGCTTGAGCCACATGTCCGCCATCACTCGCGACGATAAGCTCCATAGCAAATCTGGTCCGTTGGATGATAAATGTTTTCCCTTCTTGGGCGCCTTCCCCAGTCCGTAAGCCACAAGCCACTGCATCGCCGTGAGCCTCTGCTTTTCAGTGTCCCACGCGTTCCTCTTCCCTCCGGCTCCGGCTCCGGCTCCCCCCTTTGCCCTCACCTTCAACCCTCCCACGTGCAAGCTCCCCATCTTGTATCTTCTTTCCTCCTCGTATTTCCTCCCTTTCTCTTCCTCTTCCTCTTCTGCTTCTCTGGCATGGATAAGAGCCACCACCGGCCCTCCCACTGCTTCGTACCTCCTCAGCGGGTCTCTTAGCTGCACCACCGCCGCCAGCGTGATGCCTTCTGGATCTTTCGATTTGCTTGCAAATCCAGTGAAGCTTAACTTCTTCGTCCAATCTTCGAATGGAACCGCAGAATCCAGGGGATGGGTTTGATTTTCATCTTTCCCTCCACTCTTCACACTCAGAGCAGAAACCTCAAACGGGGCTTCTTCCTCCGCCATCTCCGCCTGGATTTTCAGTGCTTCCACTGTCATTTCTTCGAGCTTCTGCATTGAGAATGCTAGAATCTCTTCAATTGTAAGTGGGACTTCGTTCAAGTTCCAAATTCCTGTCGAAATCCTCTCTTTCCTTCCCGTGCTTAAGGCAGTCGCCATTGATTTTACAGCGGCAATGGCGCGAGCGGCGGTGGAGCTAGCTCCCTCTTTGTTTCTCCCTTGAATGATTGCGGAGGCTATTCCTTCAAATGCTACTTGTTCTGCCGTTTTGCCCATCAGTTCTTCCGTAGACATTAATGCCACTATTTTGGAGCTCAATTCCTCGAGCCCGCTGCAAGCCATTCTTTGAAACAATTCAAACCCACTTAGAGACTGGGTGGAGGCTATAATGAATGGTTTCGATATCTGCATCGCCAGTTTTGGAGTGTCCTTCCTTGAAACTTGGGTGTTCAATGGATTCATGGCCGCCAGATAGCCTCCATCTTTGGTTTGAACCACGCAGCCCAAACCCTTTCCAAGATCTGAAAGGTATGATTTCGATTCCATCTCTGAGGAATCTTCTGTTACTTCAAGTTGGAGAGGAGGAATTTCAGGATAATTGAGTTTATTGTCACTGTTGTATGAGCCAGCGCTGTCTTCTTCCTCGAGCATCTGAAGAAATTCCCTAGTTACGTTTTCTTCATCTGCATCAAGTCTCTGTGATTCGGATTCTTCGTCATTTTTGTCAAGGCTTTCTTCTCCCATCATAGATTCCAGAGCTTTTATTTGCTGCGCTATCGAATCGAGTTCCGACAATCGATTCAAATGAGCCTGATCGTGCACAACCTCCTTCACTACCTCGCTTGAAGTAGATTTTTCTTCCACTGATTTTTCAGATTCTTCTTTGTCCACTTCTTCTTCCTCTTTGTCCTGAATCTCTACTCCTTTATCCACAACATCAAAGTCTGGGAGATCGAGATCTTCCATCTTCGGTTCTTCCGATTTCTGAATAGACGGCGAGGTCGACGGAATCGGCGCTGGTTCATCTAAGTTCAGGTCATCCATTCCGGGGTGATCGGCCGACACTCTCGGTTGCGATGGAATCCAAGCTTCACTTTGGCTGGTCAATCTGGGACTGGGAACACTGAACGAGGTCTTCGATTGTTTTCTCCCAAAAGATTTTCCCGATTTGGCTTCCTTCGGCTGAGCTTGATTGTAAATTCCAATTCCTCCGTCTTTCTCCATAATCTGAAACCCTAGTTTCACAACGAGCTCTCCTCCTCTGGCTTTCCCCGCCAGGTTGAAGCTTGTGTCCCACTGTCGAACTCGCGTCCCTTCGTAACTCTTCTCCATGGATTCCTCTATCAGTTTACTCAAATCCACCGAACTTCTCCCGAAGTCAAGCTCTTGAGCATCTACAGCGAAAGCGTAAATCCAAAACGGACGAGGCTGGAATTTCATAGGCCTTCCATTTCCAGGGGTGCAATAAACATGGCACTTGAGGAACAATGTCTCTTCGAAATCCGCAGCGCCTTGCGAAACTCTAGACGGCATTGTGTTGACTGCTCCGTCTTTGGTCTCTTTCTTCCTCACACAAACGGAAAGTCGAAGCCCATTCATGGAAGCAGGAAGGCCTTGAACGGTGACGACCTCAACGGAGAACAAGCAACTCATCTTGTGCATTCCGATATGGGAGAGAGCTCGAATTGGCTTCCAGTTCCAAATCCCCTTCTTCTCCGGCGCCGTTTCGTCCATCTTCCTCGGCTCCGGCTGATTAGAAGAGACCCTGCTTCTTTCCGTTTGCTGCTTGTCATCGTCGAGCTTGGGGCGCGAACGCCATGGCGACAGAGACATGCGTCTGGACCGTGGCTTGTTGGGCCTGTCTTCATTTCTGGCGCCCACATCTTCAGCAGTGGGAATATAAGGAAGAGAAGTCCGAGGAAGAGCAAGCGAGGCTGTTCTTCGGGTGGTGGAGGTGTGGGTTTGGTAGAGCGATTGGCTGAGCGCCTCGAGTTCTTCGAGAAGTTGGGTGTTGGAATCCCTCCGCCCTGCCGGGTTCTGATCAGTCGCCATTGATGATGTTGGTGCCAAAATTGCAGTAGAAGGAGGAAGAAGAGAAGCAGATAAGAGAGATGGTGAGTGGAGTAGGCATAGGACATAGAGGCTTAGAGAATATGAGGCGGAGAAATTGGGAGAGACGATAAGTTAAGAAAGCAGTGGGTGGAGGGTGGAGAGCCAGGCAATTGGCAATTGGCAATTGGAAATTTGGCGTCTGGTCTGGCAGCTTCTTCTTCAATCTTCTTCCACCCGAAACGGGTCCCCTCAGTATTAAATGTTTGTTCTCATTCGTCAATAATTGGTAAAACTTTTAGCTTCCAACTTCAACTGCCGGATTCGGGTTTCGGCAATATTCACATGGTCAGTTAAAATTAGCATTATTGCAGAATGAAATGTGAAACGTAGAGTTTGATGTAAATGGTAACGTTACGTTGGTGTCAATTATAGGGGGAGAGAGAGAGAGAACGGGTCAAGTGGGTAAATTATGGGAATGGTTGGACGAAAATGGTTGTGGGGATGCATAAGTAAAGGGTGAAAAAAGGGGAGTTTTTGGAGTTTGGAGAGAGAAGAGAGAGATGTCGAAGAGCGAAGAGCAGGCGCAGGCGCAGGTGCAGCCGCAGACGCGGACGATGGGGAAGAGGGAAGAAGAGAAGGCGTCGGTGGAGGAATTGCTGCCGCTGGAGAGCAGTCCGTACGTGAAATACAAAGACTTGGAAGAGTACAAAAGGGAAGGGTATGGGGCGGAGGGGCATCTGGAGCCGAAGCCCAACCAGGGGCAGGGCGGCGGCGGCACCGACGCCCCCACCTTGTCCGGCGCCGGCTTCCCGGAGGTCAAGCCCTCCACCATCGACGTCGCCACCAACCAAGGCCTCATCCCCTGATCCATCAACATCCTTTCTTCCTTTTTGTCTCGACAACACGGCCGCTGCAAAACGCAAGCTTCTTCTTCTCGTAGGATAACAATCTTTCTTTTTTCTTTTTTAATATATAGTATATAGAAAATATTTAATTTCTTAATTGAGCTTCTAAGTTTAGGAGCATTGTATTCCAAAATTCGATCACACCCAAACTGTACTCTGGATTGGAATGAGTTGAAGTCAATTCAGATTTACCAATTTAGTTGCTTTATACATTCTTTCAAAATTTTATTCAGAATGAGGCCAATAAAACAAATGGGGATCCATTTGAGTTTTTCTTCCCCACCAAATTTTACATTATTTTAACAACAATTTTATGTTAGTTATTGATTTCAATAATACCATTAACGTATTCCTAATTCAAATTTAATTATATTTGATGGACGATGTCACCCAACTTTTATAGGATATGTCATGCTATCTTCCATATATTTCTATTTGAATAAATGGATATTTTCAATTATTTTGATCCATGTATTTTCAACTTTTTGTTTATTTTAACTTTTATACTTTCAAAACGTCCACTTTTTTTAAAAATTACCAATCTAGTCTTCATTTGACAAATTTTAAGGTAAATTTTATACACATTAGAAATCTTTGATACAAAATTATGACTACATTTCAAGAAATTTAGTGGGTTAAATGTCATGTTAAAATTGTTATCAAAATAAATGAGATAAAATTAAAATAAAGGGATCAAAATGGAACATTTTTCTAAAGTACAAGGACTTAATATATATTTTGAAATTACATGAATCAAAATACATAAACTAAAATAGACATTTTTGAAATTACATAGACCAAAATAGAAGTTGTAAAATTAGATGGACAAAATAGTATTTAAACTAAATAGACACATAAAAAAATAAATTCAAGTCAACCTAGACATAGTAATTGGTTATGACATATATTGCAGACCAAAAAAAAAAAAAAACAAACAACAAAGGATCTAATTTAACATTGTGTAAAAGCGACATGCTACAATGGTAAAAAGTATCATCGGAAAATATAAAGTAAATTGAGAAAATTTTCTTCCGGTGCATATACGATTTTAATTAATAGTTCTTTCAAAGTTCTTTCTACTCTCTTTTAGAAAAAAATTCTTCAAGTGTTTAAAGTATGGTTTCTTAACTACTAATCTTAATTAAATATTAAAAAGGTAAATAAATTGTTTAAAAGTAAAACATTTGCAAATAGTTTATCAATAAATCCTTGAAATGTACTAATTATTTTCCATGCAGTACCTTAAGAAGAAAATTGTGGTCCAAATTTTTAATTTTTTAACACAAATTTTAGACCATAGTGCCAAATTCTAATTTCACTGGGGATCACATTTTAAGAAGAAAATTTAATAAATATAGAAAAATAAATTACAAAATGGGCTGTTCTTGTGTGACTGCAATTTTCGGCCCATAAACTCAGTGGGATCTTGTTTATGGGCCAGCAGCCAAGGCCCACAATTGAGTGTTAACGGGCCTAACAATACACAGATACCGTGAGCTGGTGGCGTATATAGTGGAATGGACCGCGTCTCGTCTGGATTTTTTTTTTTTACATTCTCGTGTTTGAAGATCCTTCGGGTGGAATCTGCAGAAAAATGGCGTTGATGAAAGGAGAGCCGCTGGTGAGGAAGCTGGCCGTGCTCGCCAAGTACGTTGTTCTTCCGGGAGCCATGGTTGCTGCTCTCGTTTACTCTCCTCCTGATTACGCTTACTACAAGAATGGCGATCAGTCATCCAAATAGAACTCTTTCCCCTTCTTCCCCAATTCGGTTCGTCTCGATCTGTCCTCTCTTAGGGTTACAGTTTTACAATTTTACTTGTTATTGTTTTCTCTTCTGAATTGTTGATAGATGATTGATGATTCTTTCTGACTGTTGGATATTTTATGTGATCGTGCTGCTTGCTATTAGATATGTGCTTATTGTGGTCGCAATCAGCAATGTTGTTTTCATGTATCTGATAAACATCGACGACGAAATTGATGCAACTAAGTGATGTGAGATTTAAGATTCCCACAACTTGGCCAGACTTCCCTCATTGTAGAGATTAGGATTTGATATAACTTAAGTGATAACTTGTGCTCAAACTTCCCTCCTGGTAGAGATTGGAGCACACAAAACGAATTTGAACTTTGTGTAGTTCTACATTTATTATCCTTCTCACATAACTTCTAATCGAATCATTTCTTGGTAACATCATCACTTTGTGTATAATTAAACCGAATAAACTAGGTTTGGACTGGATGAAAGAAGTAGGCCCTATTAGATGAGATCCGACGTTTAGAGTGTTTATCTTTTTCCAGTATCATCATCTACAGTACCTGCCATTTATTGGACGTATTTGTAGTTTATCTCCCATAGTTGCCTAGCTTTATCATTGATTATGCCTTTATTGCTTAACGAGGGGTTGTTTATTTTTTTACAGTGTGCCCCGCCTAACTTACACAGTGAAAAAAAATGCTCCTTTTTTATAATACTAGCCATCCATTTCCCAAGGGGTTTGGAGGCTGACACTCTGTGCTGCATGATAATTCCCTGCTTCTTCTTTTCTTGATGTATGTATTTCAAATTATCCCATAATTTTGCAGAAATTGTCTGGAAATCACGTACAATGCAGTGTTAGCATTATTGGCTTTGGTTATCTACTCTGATATATTATCTCTGATTCGATCAACAAGTTTGAATTGGAATTGATTTTTGTTTTCTTGATGTACAGGATCGTTTGATCATGTAGGCTTGCATTTGCAGAACTTTCTCCAAAATGTTAAACATGGTGTGTAATGGACATATTTCATCATCATGTCTCAATAATTAGTCATTTGTTTTACTTTTGTGGCTTCGTACTTGGAGAAATAATATCCATTTGTTTCTTTGAAGAATATTCAGAATGAGAAGTATATTTTTCCTTCCTTTTTTTCTGTCTCTTTCCCTTGATAAATTTGGGTGAAATGGAATGTATATCCGTGGAAGCATAGGACACAGAAAACAAAGAGATGGGTGTAATAAGCGGCACCTTTTCTTTTAAAAATCACATCTAGTCAACCCAAAGATGAATCCACGCAGCTTAGATTAAATGAATGTTTAAGGTTCAATGCCCGTGTTGCTGTAAACTTATACGCTTCTATGAAAATTTTACACTTGTAAATTTTTACATTCATTCATACCGTCGTTACAATATCAACTTTTTGGTCCTGTGCACCGTTGAATTGTAATAAAATTTTCCATATTTACTCAACTAGAGTGTTTACTAACCCAGGATATAGATGTTTCAGAGAGGACTATCATAGCAAATATCCAAAGCCAGACTCCTAACTGGGTCAGGAGTGTTAATTACAGGGGAAGAAGATACTTGGAGAAGACTACCATAGGAACGACTGATTAATCACAACTAAGTGATATATTTTAAGTTAAGTTACTTTTCGCTCGATCTTATAATTTAGTTAAATTTGTCTAGATGTTATTGTTTGTGGTTACTGCCATCAAGCCTCCCCACTCCCAGCAATGTTCCGTAGTATAGCGTTGTTAACAAAGAAAAAAATGGTATTGATATCTTGTCAACTGTTGAGACTACAAAGAAAAAAAGTAAATGAAGTTATATTATAATAAGCTTATATGACGTTAACTATGCTTGCCTGTGTTCCGTGCTGACTTAAAGTTAAAAAGTAGATGGAAGGTCGAAGATGAACATGATGAGATTGACATGGTCAGGTAGGAGAGTAGTTTATCTAACTCCTGCGACTGTGCAGTGAGAGGATAGTTAATTGGGCCGCTGCATGAATTTGGGGCCTTACTCTGGGACTGGGTTTTGCGAAATGAGAATAGAATATATTCTGTGAAATATTTTGAACTGAAGATATTCGATGGAATTTCTATGGCATGCAATGATTGAGGGTGGGGGAAGTGGATGGGGCAAGGCATTGAAAACAAGAGGATAATGGACTACATGCAAGCTGTGTCAGGTATTCTTGTGGCCGAATAACTCTGTTTTCTTTTTTTTTTTCCCTCTCTTTTATGAATGGGATTGGTGTTGAGTTGCGTTGGGCGCAAAACAACAAAGTATTTGGGGTCCTTCTGTTCACAGTTGATTCAAGATTTTAGAATCCAAACTTGATTTCGATGGTCCCACCCCTCATTGCCGTACTCGTTTTATTTTGTCATTAACTCCCTCCGTCTGCTGCTGCGGAGTAGATAATGTCTGTTCTCTGATGAATGATAATAATTCTTAGTGGCTCCTTTTCTGTGCCACTCTCGTGATTCAGATGCATCAACTTCTCAATTTTCTTTCCTAAATGATGCTCTCAAAACTCATTCCCAAGTCCAAATACAAATCCAAATCCCCCATGTATTTTGTTCTTGTTCAGTTGAGGAGGCTGTGGCCGAGGGCACAGAAAGGCCCCTACGAACCCAACCCAACCCCCCACCCACAAGCCACAAGCCACAGCATGCATGCAACCACACTATACACTCACAACCTTTCGGGCCATTGCCAACTCTTCAAATACATAATAAATTACAGGTGACGTCAAAATATATTTAGTAATCCTCCAAATCCCATCAATGGCGTCCCATCCAGCTGAACCTGCCCTCACCTAATTCTCTATCTTTAGGGGCTTCCAAAATCCAGAGCGGCCATTTCTAGTTTTCTTATCAATGTAATTTAAGTGGCAGCCTTCTTAAATAAATGCACACGTCCTAAGATGGCTTGCAGGCAGCTGTTAACAAATAGTACAGATATGGATAATGATAATGGGTTATAATTTAGAGAAAGGAAATGATGGGTTTTTAAAGAAATGTTTGGTACATACAGATTGGACGCTACGCTAGAGACGCATACTAGTTTACAACCACGTACAGGTACAGCTTCAGTACTTGAAAAAGTAGGCGAAAAGTTGAAAAAAAAAAGAAAAAACTAAAAAAGATGTTTCAAGCATCTAATGGCCAAGATTCTCCATGGGCATGGACGATGTTGATGTGAGGATCTAACATTGTCTGAAAGGGGGACCTGTTGAAGGCGATTGAAGTAGATATGTCATGAACAGACATCTCAGCAGCAGCCGCGGCTGGTGGTGGAGATGAATTGCATTGATCCATTTCAAAAAACAAGGGAAGATTTGGGTGAACCTTGATATCCATGAAGGAGTTTGAGTTGTTGGTGTCAGTGGGTTCGAAATGGGTTGTGCTGAAGCTGGACTCCTCCCCTTTGAGTCGTTTGAACATGTAATCAGAGTAGTGTTGACGTGAGTTGAAGAAAATTGAAGATGATAATGATGATGGTGAAGCCATGTTGTTGTTGGGATTCGCAATAATGGGGTTCACGTTACTGCTTGGTCTGTGTGAGAAACAGGGTGCCTCGCTCGAGGAAAGGAGGTTGGATTGGGACACCACTGAGCTCACTAAACTCTTGAGGTCGTTTTCAGGAGGAGGAGGAGGCTGCTGGTTTATCTGAAAAGAGTTTTGAAAGGCGGCGGCGGCGGCTGCAGCTTGAGATTGACACTCTATTAGTGTTGTTGTTGTTGGAGTCTCGAGCAGCGGAGGCAACTGCAAGGAGTTGGAAGTGGTGGACGATGATAAACCACACCCACCGCCCGACTCCATCAGATAGCTCTCACATGAGAACATCATTGGATTTTTCTTCTCCCCATTCTTGTGAAATATTCTGCATATAACCCATTCTTCCTGCAAACCAAACCAAACCAACGTTGTTAACACTACTTTACTTAGGCCTTGGACTAATATTACTCTAATAACAATGCCCACACAGAAATAAATTAAACTGGATCTTAACATAACGCGTCATATCAATGCATGAAAAAAAAGGGGTAAGGTAAGGCGCACTACAGCACATTGCACCATTTCCAGAGATAAAACTTAGCAGTGGTTAAATCAATCGCATCACATCAAAACTTACCCCAAAGTAAAAAAAAGAAATAGAAGAAAAAACAGTGTAGGTTTGGAAAGAGAAGAGAAGGGAAGAGGCAGTACTTTTTTTTTTTTTTCTTTATGGAATATAAAATAAGTCAACTCGGAAGAAGACAAAAGAATAGGGTTAAGTATTGCAGGAAAATAGGCTAGCTTGATTCGCACGGTGGGAGAGTGCACGTGCGGTGGGGTTGGCATTACCTTGCAGGCATGGCGGTAAGAGAAATCGCCGTCTAAGCGGTACTCATGCATCACCCACTTGGTTTTCTCCCCACGCGGCGCTCTGCCTTTATAGAACACAAGCGTCTTCTTCATCCCCAGAAGCCCTCCACTGGAAGCACTGTATACTTCCCTGTCCTTTCCGGTGGCTTTCCAGTACCCAGCTCCGGTGGCCCTGTTTGTTCTTAGCCCTGTTGGGTACTTCCGGTCCCGTAAACTGTAGAAGTACCATTCTCTCTCACCCATCTTAGCAACATCTGAAATAAGTAACCCACACACACAAACTTCTTAATTAATTTACAAACTAGGCTGCCTCACGCTCTTTTTAAAACTTCACACATTTATTAGAGCTTACCAGTGTTTGTCGGCGTTTCAGACACCTTTTTCAGGGAGAGAGAGATTTCGTAGCCTTGTTAAATGGAAAACGTAATCCTATAGCTAATGATGCATGAAGTGTCAAGAACCTATCTATCTAGTTTTATGGCTGAAGAATAAAAGAAAGATGGAACTTTATGACGAACTTGACGAGGGATTTTGCTTTTATCGGGCTAACATTCAACTCATCCGTTTGGAGGCAACAAAGTGATTACTAAAATTAAAACAGACAACAAAATAACTTTTTTGTAAGCAATCAGAACTTAGCTAAGTATATAAGACACGGTTGATGGTTCAGATTTTCTACGGACAATTGAAAAAAAGATAAAAATAGCACATTTTTAAATCTTTCCAATATCTCAGAGAAGAAATAGAGAGAATCTGTAGCCGGAAGGCCTGTAAATTCACAAGAAGAAACAAGTATGACAGAAAAATATATAGTAGGAAGAACATTGTGATACTAGAAGAAGCCACAGTAGCTAGAAGAGAGAGGGCGAAAGTTTCATGTTATTTTTTTCAACTTGTTGTTCCAAAATACAATGCTGCATGAGATGATTAACGTGAGAATGGTGTATATATGTAGCACGCACCTGGAAGCTCCCATGGCTCACATCGGTTGAGGTCTACCTCAGCAATCTCCACTCCGCAGAAGCTGCCTTTGAAAACCTTTGAAGCCAAGTAAAATGTGATGAGTTCCTCATCAGTCGGGTGGAACCTGAACCCTGGAGGCAAACCCTGCTCGTTTAACTCCTCACCATTCAGTTCAGATAAAATTTGCTCCATTGCCAACATGGTCGTCCTATCCGCAGAGCCACACAGAGAGAGAAAGATCTGGGGGAGAATGACCAAGGGAAAGGAGAGAGTGATTGTAAAAAGAAAAGGAGAATTATATAGAGATGATTATAAGCAGCACTGAAACCAAAGTAGAAAGAAAGAAAGAAAAATATGAGGAGGGCAGCGCTGAGAGATATGGGATTTGAGATTCTTAAAATGCTTTCATGGGGGCCTAGAGAAACGCACCTGAAAAAGGCCTTCCCTTCCGGGACTACGTAGCCAACAAAATCATATTTTATTAATATATATATTTTTTTTGGCTGGGAGAAAAAAGAGAGTGGGAAAAAGGGGCGGTTTGGTAGGAGAATGTTAAATATAAAAGTTAGTCTGATAGATAGAGGGATTTATGCGTGTAGACATGTTTGTTTCGAGGGTAAAAGTGATCAGGGAAAAGGTGAGGAAATTGTGAGCGAGACCATCAAACTAATTCATTCCCAATGCCTCCCAAAACCACATCGACCTTTTAACCTATAAATGGATATGGCTTTTAATACACAGCCAACTTTGTTAAATTAAACAAAAAATTAGAAAGAAAAGGAAGCAAAGGGAACCCGTGGATGATGATATTATAAACAGTGAAGAATGAAGGAGGAAAGAGAAAGGGAGAGTAAGGGGACAATGGAATAGAATAGAACTGAGGGTGGGGCTCGATCTTAGTTTGGTAATAAATGATTTGAATGCATTGGTGGGCTGTGTTATGCAATTCCAAAGTTGTGGCCATTCGCATTGCAATTGCAATGAAATCAGTCGGCGTTGCACGTGCACGTATCATCACCTAATAATAATAATAATAACAATAACAATAATAATAATAATTCATTAATGAGCACAACGCAGGAATAGAATAGTTATAGCCACTGGGTGAAGTAAAAGATAATACACAACTGCAACTGCAACGCCAAAGATCTACTGATGCATATTTGGAATAGCCAAAAAGGTAGGTTTACATAAGCCTAGATTGCTAGTTGGGGCTGCCCCAGCTCTGCCCTTTCATTTTCTTTAATTAATTAACTATGAGCTGGAAGCCTGGAATGGAATGAGAACTCTTCACTGTGTCCTCTCACCCACACGTACGCCATTGCCATTTCCCCTTCTCTTCTCTACTTTGCGTTTTAAGGATTTCTTCCAAATCAAGTTAATGGTCTGTCTTTGGGAGACGAATAGCCAAATAGGAGAGGGTTAATGGGTTTTGCCTTTCACTTGCACTGCAGTGTGGTTTTGTCAAGGAAAACTGGCCCGAAGAGTCAGAGGCGGGGGCCATAAGAATTCAAGACTTTGCACACCTCCCATTCAATGCAGCGGCTGCTCATTAATGTGTCCACAAAGAAAAGAAAATGGCCTAAAAAAACTATTATTATTATTATTTTCTTTTTGGTAATTTTGTAAATGGAAGAAGAGGAATGAATGCATGCACTTGCACTTGCACGCACGTGCCAAGGGGGATTGTTTTTGTTATATTGGGAGGATGCAAATGAAAAGACAAGTCAATATGTATAAAGGCGACAGGTTGGTTGCGTGGGACCCCAAATTCGTCCATTTGTCGTTTTTTAATAAAATCGCAAAATCAAATATATATTATAATCGATAAAAGTCGATTTGAGTAAGTAAGGAGGAGGATGGGTGGTTGGATGAGTGGGAAGAGCTGGAGGGCACGAAGCAGAAGCAGAAGCAGGAAGAAAGAGTGAAATTTTTACAAAATACAGGGACCACTCTGCAATGTGCATCGAGCTTCAGAAGTTAGGAGGAAGGAATGATGGGGGTTTGTTTTCAATTTTCGTGAAGACAAAATATATTAAGAATGTAATAGAGGCGTTGTTGTGTAGAGAGTTAAATTGCAGAAGCAGCAGAAGGAAAAGCAGAGAGGGGATTCTCATTAATGAAATCAAAACAGAAAACGAGAAGATCAGAATCAGAAGGGAAGCCATTGCATTGGGGATGCGTCATCTTCTTCCGCCCCACCCCATTCCGCGTTTGTTAATTAACAACACCAATACTTACACTTGTAGCAGCAGCAGCAGCTCCATAGTAGGGGCAGAGTTGGTAATTTTGGTATATAATAGACTTGGGATGTGCAGAAATGGTAGGGGCAGAGTAGGTAATTCCCCCAATCTCTAAGAGAAAAAAGAAAACCCCGTACACAAAAGGAGCAGGAGGGGGAGGGGGGACCACGAGCAGTATGAGGCATTGGGGAAAATATAAGGGAAAAATGAAAATAGAGGAAAAAATAATTGGGGAAGGAGCAGCGCAGAACAGAACAGAACAGAACAGGGTGAGAGTGAGACTGAGTGAGTGATGTGTGAAAAAAAGAAGTGCAATTATTAAACAACAATTGTCTCTTATTTACTCATCACTTCCCACTTCCCTTCCCTTCCCTTCCCTTGCTCTCATCATTCTTCAAACCCTCTCTTACTCTCACTCTCCCTTCCCTTTTGGGCTTTCAATCCAACACTACGGCCCACCGCCCGAGCATCCACAAAATAAAATGTTCTAGTTCTACCATTTCAAACCATCCTCATCCTACCCTTTAACTTTAACACCATGTTTTACCTTCATTGAAAACCATTAGTTTTCTGCCACTGTTTTGGTTCACATATTTGGAAACAGAGTAGGATTTCTAGATTTCAGGTTTGTAAAAATTAGTCTATAGATTTAAAACCCCAATCCAACTTTATAATTTCAATCTAAGCATTCCTACCAAATGTAAGCTCAACCATAAAAGTTAAAACTATGAAACTTAAAGTCCTTACCCCAAATGTTCCACAATCAAGTAAAATTACACATTTATTATTCAAAATAAATTAGTTCTTATTTTTTTGAAAAATTACAGTGCAAAAGTTTTTAACTATGCCCAATATTTTTTAAAGTTGTTATCGTACGCAGTTTACATTTTTATACAAGATTCACTTATAGTTTGTTAGCTATTATACTTCAAATTTATACAAACAAAACAATCAAATTTTGCAAAAATGAGAAGGATTATGAAATAAGTAGTTTATATTTTCTGTTTTTTCTTTCTAATTCTTTAAAGATTGAAAGCTTAAAAAGCCATCAATCGGTCATCGCTTTTAATTGAGAAGTTAAAAAATAATAATTTAAAAGCCAATTACAAATCTCTTACAGTAATAAATAAAAATAAAAAGGATACAAATATTTCCAACCCCACTAAATCTTAAATTAAAAACTTTATCCTTCATTTTCTATCAATTTATTTATCTTATATACATATAAATCCAGTATACCGATACGTACAAATACACATCTGAAATCTAAAATGATAAATAATTTTATATTTTAATTATTTTAAGATTTCCTAAAAAAAAAAGAATACAAAAATATCAACCCTATTAAAAATCAAAATTAATCATTGCATATGTAGTAATAAATTGAGGATGGGGAAGATTGTACTTCTGACTTCTAAGACAACACAACTTGACTAACTCCAACTTATATATATTATACTTAATAAATAAGTGGATGTACTTAATAACTCAATAAAGAAAAAGTAAAAAGCTCTTCCTTTGCTGTGGAGCTAAGTCTGTTGGTCATTTAGTAAACTACATGAATGAGAATGACAGAATGCGTAGATTCAAAGTCAGTTAATACACACAAACCACTCTTGAAGACTGGGTATCAATATTTATGTATATATCATATGAACTTAGCTTGTAAGCAACACTTGATATGCTGCACACAAACACATTCATTCATACCTTGTAATATAAATGATTCCCTACATCTCTTCGTTTCTATTAAACCCGTTCCTTGTCTCATTCTCCAATAAACCAATATTTGCAAATTCCAAGACTTGAGAGACCTAGCAATGGCTCTGCCTAAGTTACTGCTTCTAGCACTGTGCATTTCCCTGTTTGTCGTATCAAGTTGTGGGATGGACTTTTCTATTGTGGGTTACTCGCCAGAAGACTTAACTTCCATGGATAAACTTATTGAGCGATTTGAAGAATGGATATCAAAGCACGGCAAGATTTATGAGACTATTGAAGAGAAGTGGCATAGGTTTGAGGTGTTTAAGGACAACTTGAAGCACGTTGACGAAACAAACAAGAAAGTGAGTAGTTATTGGCTTGGACTTAATGAGTTTGCTGATTTGACCCACCAAGAGTTCCAAAATATGTATCTTGGTCTGAAAGTCGATTCGTCTCGAACAAGGCAATCCCCAGAAGAGTTCACCTACAAGGATGTCGTAGATTTGCCCAAGTCGGTGGATTGGAGAAAGAAAGGAGCTGTCGCTCACGTCAAGAACCAAGGTTCATGTGGTAAGTTATATACATCAACTTCCATTTTGTAGTCATATATCTATCTCTATCTGATAAAGAAGAAACGAACATTCTGATTCAGCGGTAATTTGAATGGGCTTTGAAATTGCACAGGTAGTTGCTGGGCCTTTTCGACAGTTGCTGCTGTAGAGGGGATAAATATGATTGTTAGTGGAAATTTGACTTCGTTATCAGAGCAGGAACTAATTGATTGCGATAGACCTTACAACAATGGGTGCCATGGGGGCCTAATGGACTACGCATTTTCTTTTATTGTGTCTAATGGTGGACTTCACAAGGAAGAAGACTATCCTTATCTCATGGAGGAAAGCACTTGTGAGAACAAAAAGGTAAAACTACTAACCGAACCCCATGAGCCCATTTCTTGGGACACTACATTGGACCATACAGAAAACCATATCGAGATGACTCTGAAAATTGAATATTTCTTTTCTACAGGAAGAACTGGAGGTAGTGACAATCTCTGGCTATAAAGACGTACCAGAGAACAATGAGGCCAGCCTCATAAAGGCATTGGCACACCAACCGGTCAGCGTGGCCATTGAAGCTTCAGGAAGAGATTTCCAATTCTACAGTGGAGTGAGCAAAATTTGGAACTTGTGGATAGTATTGGTACTACTACTATTTGGCCCTAATGCAGCTATTAACATTATAACTTGTGCAGGGCGTTTTTGATGGACACTGTGGAACAGAGCTTGATCATGGAGTCACAGCCGTTGGATATGGGTCAACAAAGGGAGTGGACTACATCATTGTGAAGAACTCCTGGGGACCCAAATGGGGAGAGAAAGGATATATAAGAATGAAGAGGAACACTGGAAAGCCTGCAGGGCTCTGTGGAATCAACAAAATGGCTTCCTATCCTACTAAAAATAAGTGAAGAAATTAACAATGTCTTGTTCCCCACTTTATATTCCAAAGATATGGCTTTGACTTTGTTTTTCCCTTTTCTGTTTTCCTTTTTCTCTTCTCTCCCACGGACATACAATTCTGAAGAATATGTATTGACAATGGTATTGTGAGAGAAAAACAAGGAATTATGAAACCTGTTCTGATACTTTGTTCTAAATGACATGATGAGTGTGCAATTAGATCATATGTGATTGATTGAATGTAAGGCTACCCAGCAGGGAAAGAATCTAATCAGCTTTGTAATTGTGATGAAGGGAAATATGGTTTGCTTTAGCTAGTTAGTTAATAACTTAATATCATCGATAGTGTCTTGCAGTCTTTTGTTCATTAATTTGGTTGATATAAGTCAAATCCTCCACCGTTTTTAATTACTCTTCAATGAGACCTCTAAGTTCTTCTAAGTCATACATATCAAAGAAAATGAAGAGGTTGTGAAATTTGGAGTTAGAATTAGTCAAGATACACGCAAGAACATCGTTGCAAAATTTCAGGCATAATTGAATTGGTCGTCATACCTGGAACTGCTGCCAGATGAGTATCGCCACGGAGCTTCTTCCAGAACCTTGCATCCGGCGGTTAGGCTCCACTCCTCTTCTTGTTTACGGTTTCCGCCATGACGGTGGCCGGCGATGAGTGGCCCTTCAGTATTCCCCATTCAGATTGCCATAACGCGGAACGGAAACAAGCCGATACTCGCAACACACAGCTGCGCATTCCGCAGATGCATAATCCGAAGAATTCTATCATCGTCACCGCGAGGCTGCCCATCCTGATGCTAATTAGTTTATCTGTTTCAAATTTCAACGACGAAATCTTTGAAACGGAAGAAAGTGAAATTTGGCGGCATGAAGAAGTTTAAGCGCCATTTCGAGACCTATTTATATTACAAAAGTTGGATAGTTCTCAAATTCTTCATCTTCACTGTCCTTTAAAAACTAATTAAAAATTTATGGATCCAATCAATAGATAGAGAAAAAAAAAATAAGAGTGGTACATTAATTATAATATATAGTGTGATCTACGGAAAATGAATGAGAATGAGATTGATGAGATTGTAGGAGTGTAATGGGATTACAAAGTTTGAGTTAGTCCCACCATTTGATTACATTTCTACAAGTTGATAAACACCATAAAAAATAATCAAAACTCTCATTAGATTACGATTGCGACAAGTAAACAGGGTCTAAGGTTCTTTTTTCATACTGTGAAGAGAATAATACAATATTTTTGAGTTCCGAAAATACAAAATTTCAAAAGTTAAATATTAATTTTTGTATCATATTTTTTTCTTTTTATACTTTCAAATTTTATTCATTTTAATAATTGTACTTAACAATTTTGATCTCTCGATCTAAATTTTAACATAACTTCATTCACCAAATTTATTGAAATACACCATAAATTTATACTAAAGAATTTTCATCGTGCATAAATCATGTGTTAAAATTTTATAAATAAAAACTAAAATGGTCGCTGGGATCAAATAGATATTTTAAAAATATAATAACTAAAATAATCTATCGTTTAAAAGTATAGTGAGCAAAATGATATTTAAATCAACTATAAAAAGTAGGTATTTGGGAGATTATCTCATTTGTCCTTCTTGCGAATATATAAATTTTTCAAAGCAGTGGTCCATGGTCCATCTTTTTTACAACCATATTACATCGAGATTGTAACAATACAACTTTCTTTTAAGAAAAAACAATTTTACATCGAAAAAGGGGGGAAAACAACTTATAGCGAAGTTGGTTTTAAAAACCAATTTACTAAAAGTAAAATTAATAGGTTTAAACAAATGTCAAATAGCGAATTAAAGTATTTGTAATTAGGGATGAATCTCTTCAATCTGTAGCTCGAATGGCATTCTTTAACCAATACTAATTATGCTTTGTGTTTCAAAACAAAACAAAACAAAATAGCCAATTAAAAATTTTTACAAAAAGAGTCAATTATGCCTTAAATTTTATTCCATTGCTTGTCAGCCAAAAATCGTCTAAAATAATTTAAATATTAAAAATGGAGATTAAAAAAATCTCCTTTTAACAAACTTTACATTAATTTTCCAAATTTTCTCTTATTATTTTAAAAGAAAAAGGACCCTTATTCCAACTCTTATTAACGTATACAATAGTTTTTTTTTTTTTTTGACAAATAATAACATATATAATAGTTAATCAGTCAAATCCTTTCACTATCAAGCATGTCACATTGGTAATTCACATATTAAGTAGGTAACTATTTTTTGTATGTTTCCTAACCCCCGTAAATTCAGTTTAGTATAATTTATTTATTTACCGACGAGAACAAAAACAAAAATTCCATTATAATTTTGAGAAACGCACCCATATCTCATACCTTATAATTGTAATAAAAGCGTAAATATTCTTTAAATACAAAAACACGCTTGTAGCCGTATATACACATCCATTGGTTTTACATCTTTAAATTGCAGAACAAAAACGATGAATAAATAGTAAATAATCGTAGTTGATGTTTAAGATGCAAGCAATTAATCACCCTACTATATATTATATTATATTTATATTAAAAATTATAATTAATTGGTGTACACTACGACTACGAGACGACGTGTCGTGATGGGTTGAAGGAAATTAGGGAAGGGTGGTGCGTGCCAAACACAAAGAGGGACACCTGACGACGTAACGTCCGGCGTATTCATCTTCGTTCTCGTTGTCTTCCAACGACCTTCCGGTGGTTTCTCTGGTGAAGAAATATGTGAGCAGCAGTCCCGCGAGGCTGACCCCGCCCAGCATCATCAGCGACGCCCTCATCCCAATTCCTCTGGGGTACCCGTTCGCCTTCTG